TGTTCTGCTGTTGATTGCCCCTAGTGTTTTTCATTTCAGTTAATTGTATTCTTCAGCTCTGCTTTTTTTTTTTTAATACCTTCTATCGTTTTGTTGAGGGTCTGAGTTCGTCTACTCTCCAAGTTATGTGAGCATCTTTATGACCATTATTTTATCAGTGGATTGCTTATCTCCATTTCAATTTTTCGAGGTTTTTGTCTTGTTCTTACATTTGGAGCATATTTCTCTGTTTCATTTTGTCTGCGTTTGTTTCTATGTAATACATAGGGCTGCTACATGTCCTGGTTTGGGAGGTATACATATGTTGGTGTCTTGTCAGGTCCAGAAACACAATTCCCCCATGGTTACCAGAACAAGGGGCTTTAGAGGTCTCCCCTGTGGAGGGGCTGCATATATCCAATTGTGACTGACTTCTGTGGGTATGCTAATGGGGCGGGGACGGGGGCGGAGGCGGAGGGGGAGGCTAACTCTCAGTGAGGGTGGTTGCAAGGCCCTGCAGTGATTCTGTGGATGTGCTGATAGGCAGGGCCAAGTCCATCTCTGGGGCCAAAGGACTTTAAAGGGGAGACAGTCCTCACCAAGGTGGTGAGGTGATTGCTACTTTGGAGGGGCAACTACAGAGTTGCAGGCTCGGTGGGGAATGCCAAGAACAATCCTGCCCATCAGTGTTATCCCTTCCAGAGGAAGTTCCTACAGATCTGTATCCCTCTGTCATCTGCCTTAAAATTAGTCAATAAATCTACACGTATAACCTAGCTACTTTTCAGAGTCCAGACTGCTAGCCATTATACCACAGAACCTCTCTTAACGCAGGCGCTGTTTTTTCTTAGATTTTTGAGAGAGAGAGAGAGAGAGCGAGAGCGCACACGAGAGCGAGCAAGCATGAGCTGGGTGAAGGGCAGTGGGAGAAGCAGACTCTCCACTGAGCAGGGAGCCTGATGCGGGGCTTGATCGTGAAACACCAGAATCATGACCTGGGCCGAAGGCACACTTGACTGAGCCACCCAAGTGCCCCAACCCAGGTGCTTTTCAATATGCTGCTTCAGAGCTGGATCTTGGACTCTTATAGTGCACTGGCCCTTTAAAAGAGCAGAGACTTGGTTTCCTACTTCTCTTCCAGTTAAACCCAGCTGATTTTCAAAGCCAGACATTATGGGGGATTATCTTCCTGGCACAGATTCCTAGGACAGGGAGGGCAACTACATGTTCCTCAGGGAAGACCTCTGCACCTGAGATACCCTCTTCTGTTTGTGGATTACTGTGAAGTGCTTTTCAAGCTGCTCTTTTTTCACTGGGCCTAAGGGTGAGCCAAATTACAGGCAAGCTCTCTAAGCAGTGGCTGTTTCCTGTAGCACTTTGGCACCTCCTATAGGTCAACGCTGCTGGCTTTTCGAGCCAGATGTTCTGGTGGCTTGTCTCTGATGCTGACCCCAGGGTCCAAGTGCCCAATGTGGGATGCCAAGCCCCTGCTCCTCCTGAGGAAGCACGGCTCTCTCGTTGCTCTCCCTACTGTGCTGCCACACTGGGGATTGCCTCTCCTACCCATCACGATGTGGTCCTTTATATCTTTCGTTGTAGAAAGCAGTTCATGATGTTTTCAGATCTTTTCCAGAGGGAAATGGCCCATATGTGGCAGTAGACTTGGTATGGTCATGGGAGGGGAAGAATTCAGGATGTTTGTGTAACACCATCTTCCCCACTGAATCTTAAAAAGTAGCTGCTAAGCACTTTTTGAATTAGATTAAGCCTTCAGAACATTTAAGTTCAGTTGTACTTAACGATCAGATAACATGTCAAAATTTAAAGTGGGAGAGTGGAGGAATCAGGCTCCCTGCTCGGCAGGGAGCCTGATTCCTCCACTCTCTCTCTCTGCCTGCTTGTGATCTCCCTCTCTCTCTCTCTCTCTGTAAAATAAATAAATAAAATATTTTAAAGTGGGACTGCAGAAAGACCTGTCGGTACCAAGATATAAGGCTAAGGTTTTCACGTTTCAAATAGCAATGTAATTAAATTCTTAAGCTAAAAGAACTGCTGTCTACATTAGCACTAAGACATAGCTAATCACATCTGAGGTCAGTCAACATTGTATTGTTAATGAACAGCAAAATGAACAATATACTCTTTAAATGTTTCGCTGAAACTCTCCCATCATTTTGGCTTCATGTAATAAGGTATTTGTAGAATATGGGTTCACATTTTATGGACCATTTAAACTAAGAGTTTTGTTAGCAGAGGGGGATGGTGATCAGTAAGGAAATAAACCCGACTCTACTTTTGAAAAACAAAAAAACCCCAAAAATCTACTCAACTCCCGACTTAAAAATTAGGGTGATTTCTATACTTCCTCTCAACATGCATACACTACAGCTAATTTATATCAAAGATGTTTAAATTATATGAAAAACTGTGTATTTTACCTGCATCAGTGCTGATTCCTAAAGGGAGATCCTTGGCTCATGTCTTAGGGAAAGAAGATCTGCTTTAATTCTGAGGACAGAATTCAGGAGACCAAAACCAATGTAAGCTTTAAAATATATTAGAGCCAAAGCTAGCCAGTGACTGAAATTATTCAGCAATGGATCCCAATTTCCCATGTGAAGGAAACAGTAAATGGTTTAATTTGGCTCAGTTAGCCATCTTGTACCGGTTGGGTTAGTGACCCAAACTATATAGCATTTGTTGGGAAAAACATACGTAGGTGTGTAAGTTGAACTAGGGAGGTAGTTCATGCTGTGGCTTGTTTTCCTGCATTTCCACACTAGCAGTCCTTTTCATGCACCTGAAAGAGTATGGGAACACAATGATTTACACCACTTATTCCACCTAGTGTTAGATGTAGGTGTCCACTTGGTATCTCGCTGAAATTTTAAAAACCAAGCATTTTAATTCAGGACTTTGTGACAATTACTATAGGAACACACTACTTAATTCTATGGAAAGATGAAAACGCAAACAACAAAACTGAAAAATTTGTAGGCAGCACCTAAAACACCCAATTAATGCTAACATTTGATTATTATATCTGTATTTTTGAAAAACAGGATTTGTTGTAATCTAGAGATGAGTAGGTACAGTCCTGAGGCCATTCCTCACAGTGCTGTGTTACTTACCCAGGAATAGCCTTGATAATGACTATTAGGTTCACTTTCACAGCATGAAGCACTTGATACCTGTCCTGAAGTATACTTTTTTTTTTAAATTTTATTTATTTATTTGACAGAGATCACAAGTAGACAGAGAGGCAGGCAGAGAGAGAGAGAGAGAGAGAGAGAGAGAGAGAAAGAGAAGCAGGCTCCCTGCTGAGCAGAGAGCCCGATGCGGGACTCGATCCCAGGACCCTGAGATCATGACCTGAGCCGAAGGCAGCGGCTTAACCCACTGAGCCACCCAGGCACCCCTGAAGTATATTTAAAGTATATTTATGAAGTAGATTCTTGAGGAGCCAAGTCAGTCAATATCCTAAATCTTCAAAGCTCCCTTGAAAGGTAATTTTCATAGTCCTTAAATTTTAATTGTCATTTTTATTACTGTTTTGGCTACATTCTCTACAATTTCAGCAGCATCTTAAAGAGACAATGTGTCTGTATGTACAATGAAACAAAATGGCTTGCAACATGAGAAATAAGAGCCACAGTTTAACTGTACAATATTAAGGAGAATCTGTGGTTATCACCTCCTTTTTCGGCAACATGGACAACTTACATGTAGTATCAGTATTGTGAATGTGACAAATAATTCTTACAGGAGTAAAATATAACATCCTGAAAAATAATGGTTTCTACCATACAACGCAGTTAGAAATGTTCACATTTTAACAAATCTGTACAAACCACAAGAAACTTATTTATGGGACCATCATCTCACCTTTCTGATAAGAACCTTCTAGAAATGTAGGATAAACATGAACAATTTATAAATCTAGTTATCTATGTGTTCCATAGCCCTAGAACCCAAGAATGTGACTTAATGAACCCTATATGTCCAAGATGGGTCATTTTTACATGCCTTGATTGTTAATGAATGCCAGCCTTTAATATCTCTCTATGATGTACAGTCAACTTGCACCTTTAAGGAGGTCATTAGATTTTTTAGCAAAGAAGCAACATCATTTAGCAGCAATTAAAGCGCCTTCAAGAAGACTTAAAAAAAATACAATATCCAATTAGAAAAGCCATATTTTTAAACATTTGTACAAGAATAAGCTGCTGAAACTTGGTAATTGAAATACAACATCTGTACAACAATTTACAATAGAGCTAGAAGGGAATTTATCATTATCCTGCATAGAACTGGTCTGATCTGCATTTGGTTACATACTGTCACTTGTTTATGAACAAGGCCTGGTAACAAAGGGAAAATATCTTAATTCAAACATGTTGAAAACATCAGAGATATTTAGTGAATTCAACTGATTTTAAAACAAGCAGCTCATTTTGTCAAAGGTGTAAAGTGTGTAGGAGTAACAGCTCTCCTGTTAATGACTAGTGGGAAAAAAAAAAAAAACCAATAAAACAAAAATGGACACATGGTTTTGAGGTACAACTTGGTAAAAGCCAAAATAGGCAAATGACAAAGTCTAACTATGTCTAATGATTCTAACTCTCACATTCTACTATAAAACACAAATGTCACTGTCATTCAGTTCTTACTTTGGTTTCAGCAGATAAACTGCTGAATGCTGAAGAATGTATCCAGGCACTATAGTTCTTGTGTTAGAAATATTTTTTTCCATGTGTTTTTAAATAATGAAAAACTACCCTTCATATTAGAACTCTCTAGTAACAACCAAATGTATTTAAGTATTATAAACGTTATTTACAGTGTTCCCCCAGTTTTTCTTAACATGGTATTCCTGTTTCTGTGCAACAGGCAGTCATCCTTCACTGCTCAAGGTTATAGTCAAAAGTGTACATTTTATTCATTGTCCATGATCCACTCTCATACAAATGATGCCATGAAGAGCTTCAGTTCACAAATAGTTCTCAACCATGTCCTGAAAAAAAAAAAAAAATACCAACAGAAAACAATCAAATGCTTTCAAACTCAAGTGTGTATCTGGAAGTAATTCAAAGAGATCATGCCAATTTTGGAGGAAAATCAGTAAGTGATGATGCTTGAGGAAGGGGGTGTGGGGGATGCTGTAAGCCCAGCCATGTGTAAGTTTCCTGAAGAATTCGATCTTCTCATATGCGGGAGAAGGTATGGGTCATTTGCCAGTTGGTGCACATCAAACCGATCTTCTTTTCGGTAGGCCAGACAGCGTCTTATAAAGGCCTTAAAAAAAGAAAGGTTCAAAAATTAAAATTTTTGCCCCTTGTCAACATCAGTCAGCTGACTCCTATGAGAAGGATGAACACATTTAAGATAATAAGTATGTCTCATTATATCTTATTAATATATATTATATATTAAGTATATCTTATTATATCTCACAGCTCTTAGTTCATAGTTTAAAATTATTAATTAAAATTATTACTGCTATCACTTAATGTGAATTAAGGAAAAGTGCATCTCATTTTTAAAGAATTTTATTCCAAGTAGAAATTAGCATTTTACTTCTTGTAAACAAGTTGTGAAACATCAAGATTATCCAACTCCAGATCATTTTCATCATCTAAAACTTATCCAATATCCAAAACAAAAGTTGAAATTCTGTACCCATTAAATAATTCACTTGTCCTTCCCCCAGCACTTGGTAACCACTATTCTGTAAGTGGAATCATACAGTATTTGTCCTTTTGTGTATGGCTTATTTCGCTTGGAGTCATCCATACAGTCACATGGATCAGAATTTTGTTACTTTTTAAGGCTGAATAATGCTCCATTTCATGTACCTACCCCATTTTGTTTATCCATTTATCTGCTGATTGACATCTGCACTGTTTCCACCTTTTGGCTATTATGAATAATGCTGCTATGAGCAATGGCATATAAATATCTGATCCCTGGACTTGCTGGATGACATGGTAATCATTTTTAAAAACTCAAGTATAACTGACATATAACTTTGTTAGTTTTAGGTGTACAACTTAATTCGATATTTAGATTGCAAAATGATCAGCACAATAAGACTAGTTAATATCTGTCACCATTGTTACAAAATTTTTCTTTCGATAAATTTTAAGATCTATTCTCATAGCAACTTTCAAATATATAGTATTACTAATTATAGTCACATACTGTACATTAATTCCTATGACTTATTTTATAACTGGAAGCTTGTCCATTTCACTTATCTCCCAACCCCTACCTCCCACTAGATTGTTCTTTGTATTCATGAACTTGAGTTTTTTTTTTTTAAATAAGATTCTACATATAAGTGAGATCATATGGTATTGATCTTTTGCTGACTAATCTCTCTTAGCAACTGGCAAGACAGCCTTCTTTCTCATAGCTGAGTAACATTCCATTGTGTATATATACATTTTCTTGAGCCATTCATTCACTGATGGACACTTAGCTGTTTCCATGTCTTGGTTATTGTAAATACTGCTGCAATGAACATGATGGTACAGGTGTGTTTTCCAATTAGTGTTTTCCTTTTCTTGGATAAATACCCAGAAGCAGAATTGCTGGAACATATGGTAGTTATATTTTTAATTTTTTGAGGAACCACATTTTCCACAGTGGCCATACCAATTTACACTCTCACCAACAGTGCACAAGGGTTCACTGTTCTCCACACCGTGCTAACACTTATTTATCTTTTTATTATTATTTTCTTAAATAGCCATTCTAACAGGTATGAGGTGGTATCTCACTGTGGTTTTTTTTTTTTTTTAAAAGCAGGCTCCACGTCTAACATGAGGCTTAAACTCACAACCCTGAGATTTAGAGTTGTGTGCTCTACCAAGTGAGCCAGCCAGATGTCCCCTCACTATGGTTCTGATTTGCATTTCCCTAATTAATGATGATGAGCACCTTTTCATATACCTGTGCTATCTATTGCCTTTGGAGAATTATGTATTCAGATACTCTGCTCATTTTTACATCAGATTGTTCTTCTTTTTTTTTTTTTAAAGTAGGCTCCATGCCCAGTGTGGAGCCAAACGTGAGGCTTGAACTAATGACCCTGAGGATGAAGACCTGAGCTGAGATGAAGAGTCGGACACTTAACCAATTGAGCCACCCAGGTACCCCCTGATTGTTTTTCTGCTACGGAGTTTATATATTTTAAATATTAACCCCTTATCAGCTAAGATTTGCAAACATTTTCTTTCATTTGGCAGGTTGCGCTTTCATCTTTTTTGATGGTGTATTTTGCTGTGCAGGTGTTTTTTCATTTGACGCAGTCCCACTTGGTTATTTGTGCTTTTGATGTCAGATCCACAAATCCTCACCAAGACTGATGTCAAAGAGATTAATGGCCACATCTTCTTTCAGGAGTTTATTGGCTTTAGGTCTTACATTCAAGACTTTCATCTATTTTGAGTTTATTTTCGTGTACGGTTTAAGACAGTAGTCCAGTTTTCCCAACATCATTTATTGAAGAGACTGTCCTTTTTGAACTCTATAATCTTGGTTTCTTTGGCGTAAATCAATCAATCATCTATACATGGGTTTATTTCTCGGCTCTCTATTCTGTTCTGCTGATTTGTCTGTTTTTATGCCAAGATCATACTGTTTTGATTGTTACAGCTTTGAAATGTAGTTCAAAATCAAGGAATTTGATGCCTCTGGCTCTGTTCTTCTTTTTCAAGACTGCTGTGGCTATTCAGAGTCTTTTGTGGTTTCATACAAATTTTAGGATTGGATGGTCTATTTTTGTGAAAAATGCCACTGGAATTTTGATAGGGAGTGTATTCAATTTTTAGATTGCTTTGGGTAGTATAGCCTTTTTAATATTCTTCTAATCCATAAGCAAGGAATATCTTTCCATTTATTTGCATTGTCTTCAACTCATTTCACAATGTTGTTTAGTTTTCAGAGTACATGTCTTTCACCTCCTTGGTTAAATTTATTCCTAGGTTAAATTGATTCTTTTTGATGCAACTGTAAATAGGACTGTTTCCTTAACCTGATAGTTTATTAGTTTAGAGAAAAGCAACAGATTTTTGTGTCCTGAAACTTTACTGAATCGATTGTTTAGTTCTATCAGTTTTGGACACAGTCTTTAGGGGTTTCTATATATATTGTCATTTGCAAATAGTGACCTTTTTACTTCTTCCTTTCCAACTTGGATGCCTTTTATTTCTGTTTGTTGCCTAACTGCTCTGGCAAGCACTACCAAATATTATGTTGAATAAAGAAAGCTCCATTTCTCCTTATATAATTCCAGACTTCTAGAATTTTTTTCTGCTAAAACAACCCTCCATCCTCATTCCATCTTACTGTCCGTTTACTTTGGCTAGAGGGTATGGTGCCATTTTTTTTTTTTCCTTTTTAGCATAAAGACTTTCTTTAGATGAAGGGAACACTAAAGTGATACTGTTATTGGGGTTTGTTTCCTAGGTTGATACTGTATAATCAGTATCCCTTCTCCTTCTCAAGTTGGTTCTTATATATTGTCCTTCAAATGTTGTATTAAAAAAAAATCTAACATAAGATGGTACACAAATTCTAAGTATACAGCACAAAGCAACTCTGTAGCGGGCAACCAGAACGAGAACCTCCTAAGTCTCCTCATGCCCCACCCCTATCTAGGCTTTGGCTCTGCTCCCAATCTAGCTGGGCCATCTCTGTCCTGACTTCTACTGTAGTTGAGTTTTGGTTGTTCTGAACTTTACTTAAGTTAACTTTACTTACAGCTTATGTTCTCTTTTGCCTGGTGTCTTTCACTCAATATTATATATGCATTTAATTATATCGAAGTTTTGTAACATTTTCAAGGGTAAACTGATCATTTCCTTTATTTATGGTAGAAAAAACTTTAGCTTGTCTTGAACTTCCTAACTTCCACATACATTTGTCAATTAAAAGCATTACAGGAAAACTACAACTAAGATACCTAACTTTAAAATCAAAACTTAATCACATTAAAAAGTATTTTGTACCTTCTTTGTTTGAAATTCATTATATGCAATTTTTTCTCTAAAAACAAACTTAGCTCTTCTTACCCTTATGTCTTGGCTAGCTTACTAGCATTTATCAAAAATCCTTCTGAATCCTTAGGTCTTAATCATTTTGAGTGGTCTTTGAAACTTAAGACGGAGGAATAAAAAAAATGAAGAGTGACTGATATGTCAAAGGCAGAAGCTGGTGACAGAGAGGTTAGGAAGCCTATAAGGAGTAAATGTACTGAAGATGCCCAAACTACCAGGTCAGTGAAGGTACTTAATAAAGGTGTCTTATTTCAGGACAAGGTTTGAAAAAAAACAACACACACAAAACCCCACAAAAAACAATGTGCCCCTCTGCCTCCCAGATCTGTGACTGTGGTGCCTGTGAAGAGCCTAATGCTAGAACCAGAGATGGCTAATTGGGACTTCTTTTTGGCACTATACACTCATTCCTGGTCCTTTCTGTCAGTTAATTTATTTAGTTTCTGTTCCCACCGATGCTGCAGATAGAAAAGGCAGGCAAAATATAGATGCTAGCATTGTCAAGTTCTTTTTAAGAAGCCATATTTACCTTATGAAAAACATGTGATCTTCTTATTCTGAAGCATAATGAATTATCTTCTAAAAGTCATCCAAATAACTTGCTAAAGCCAATTAAGATGCAACAGACAAAATGAAATACAAGACCATTTGCGATTCACAAAAAACCAGTACATTTTCAATTCTGAAGGTCACTATGACCTCAATCAGTGGCAATATCTAACTGTGCTTATCTATATTCTAAAAATACAGAAACTATATAATGCCTGTTTATGAATTATCCTTATGGCCTAGACCAGTCATACCTGGAAAAAAATGGGAACTTCATATGTTTTTCTTAGGAATTTCATAGGGTTTAAGAAAGAGACGATTCCAACAGGGATCACGGAGATAACAAAGCAGGAGTGAAAATACAAATGTGAAAAGCCACAAGGATGAAAGTGGAAAGACATTAAGCACCATAAACATTTTGTTATTAATTACAAATGCTATTCCATGTTACTAACAGATGAATTAGAACTACAGGAAGCCATTCATCATTGATTCATAGATTGCTTCCTACAAACAGAAGGGATGAAGAAGTCAGGCTTTCTCGAGAGCTACTGTAGGGCAGAAGAAGGTCGACAGTGAATTCTGGGGTCTAGCAGAAGTGAATACTTGGGGCCACAGCTCTGATATTTACTAGTTCATATGATTCTGGACAAGGTAATTCTGCTATGGCTTAGGTGACTTCCTTATAAAATGGAAATAATGAAGATAACTAATCTATACCTCATAAGGCTGTTAAAAAAGATAAAGTATCAACACAATGCTTGGCACATATCACTAGATGGCAATTATTACTACTTTATTACTTCTTGTATATTTAAGTATCTCAGTATTAACATAAGCAGATATGTAAAACATAAAGGTCTTGTGATTCTTCCCTAATTTTCAAAGCAGACTGATGTGCTTAAAGAATCAGGGAGTGTATTTGGATCTTTAAAAGGTGAAAACTATGAAAACCAAGGACCAAATGGACAGATTCTACTGTGACAGCAATCCCTTAAAGTACAGTTGACCCTTGAACAATGTGGGGGCTTAGGGGGTGCAGCTGAAAATCCAAATGTAACTTTTGGCTGCCCAAAAACTTAACTACAAATGGCCTAGTGTTGACTAGAAGACTTACTGATAACATAAACAGTTGAGTAATACAGATTCTGTATGTTATATGTATTATATACTGTATTCTTTCAATAAAAAGCTAGAGAAAGGAAAATCTTAAGAAAATCATAAGAGAAAAAGTACATTTACAGTACTATACTGTTTGTTAAAGAAACCTACATTAATAATGGACCTGTGCAGTTCAAACCCATGTGGTTCAAAAGTCAACTGTACTTAAGCACAATTCATGAAATGAAATTTACTTCACAAAACCTATTAAATATAATACCTTTGCTTCACTGCTTACAACTGGTTTTACAGGGAACTGGACTTCTGTGGCTTTCAATATTGTATTTTCTTGAAGAATGTCTTGTTGTGATTGATTGTGACCAAATGGCTTAAAAAAAAAAAAAAAAAGTTTAGAAATTTCTCCCAAAGTATTTAAGCAGAGTAATTATCAGTGAATCCCCAAAATATAAATGATTTGTGTTCTGAAAAATCTTCTTCGTTATCTGGAACTTGGGATGCATTCTCACAGAAACAAAGTTACAACTGATGAGGTGAGTAAACCCATCTAATCGATCCTTAACGTAGCTTAAACATGGTGAATAAGCACAGAAAATAATGCTGTTGCGATATATTTAAGATGAAATAAAAATATTAAAAAATCAAGATTTATTTTATGACTGTTTTAAAAGTAAGTAGTAGTGGAAACATCTGTGAAAATTCCAAAGAATAAAATACTTTTACTACGGTACTGTCCTTCACTGACAGCTCTGGATTTGTTCCTAACTTGCAGTGACTTCCCACAGAAGTCCCTTCACCTTCTCTCCACACTGATGAAGGAGTTGGAAAGTATCTACAGGAGCTTGCAGCTCTGACTTCAAAATAAAGAGAGGTTTTGGAAGAATTAAGACTAAGTTTGACAGAGTTTCCCTGAGGAAGCACAAGGGGACACTATGCCCAGGCCGAACTGAGTACGTGTGTGCGGTGAGGTAGGAGTGGAGGAGACAATGTGAACAAGTAGAAAGAATGGAGTGTTTTGTTGGCTTGAGTATCCCTAACAGGAGAAAATGATGGCACTATTGATAGTTTCTTCTTTCACTTAAAAAAAAGGGCGGGGTGTGTGTGTAAAGGGGCAAAAAGCAGATCAAGAAAGCTGCTGTGACATTAAAATAATCTGTTTGACCCATGGAAATTTTAGCAAGAAACAAAGGCCTGGCTTTCCTTAGAAGGATCTACACTGACTTTAAGTTAATGAAACTTTACATTTAAGAGGGAAAATTCAACTTAACTCCACACAGCAGAACGTTGTATACTGTAACTTACCTTTCTACCATAAAGACACTGAAAGAAAATAACACCAACTGACCACACATCGACCTTGTTGGAAATCTTTGGTGGTTCTTTTCCAACTACAAAACACTCGGGAGGTAAATACCTACAGTTTTTTGGGGGAGAAAAGAGGAAAGGATACTATTAACAATCTGTAACTTAAGCCTTCTAAACATACCTGTAGAACACTCAGAATACTCAATACATAAAATCTTAGACGACTTTCATGAATTCAAAACTTTGTAGCATTTACATCCTTGTATCATTTGACTCAGTCAAAACATACAACTTTGTGATAAAGTATGCAACACATACCTATTATGTATGTGTATTATATATACTAAATTATTTTTCACTTCTGTAGGTAATATACATATATCAGTAGAAATTAGTGTTCTACTTTGAGTAAGCAATAATAAATGCTCTCCCAAGCCCCTTCACCTGTGTTCAAACTGTAGGCAATTCTCTTCCTAACACACATATCTGACCTCACTGCTCTTGGTTGTAACACAGACCCATCCTATTATAGAAGAAACTGGCTAGGCAGACAATTCACTTGTTCCCCACACTGCTCCCCTGCCCCCACATGCTTCTTAATGTGACCAACTCTAATGCATTCCCTAACCACTCTTATTCATTTGGTGAGCACCTAATTTTATTCTTAAGACCAACTGGACCTCCATAAGCCTCTGTTCCCTCCAGGCTGAGTTTTGCTTCTTCCCCCAGGTAAGCAGCTAATATTATGGTACCTCTATTATGGTATTAAACTAAAAATCACACCGAACTGTGAGCAGCTCAAGGAGTTATTACTCCCTGTGCAGTTTCTGAACACTAGCACGATCTGAAATACATTAAGTATTCAAAAATACTATTTTCTACTTTTAGGTGCTATTTGTAAGTTCATAATTTTATATAAAGGAAAGTAAAAATAAATTTGTCACACCTTAGCTTTTAAATAAAAAGACCCATCAGGGATGCAAGTATCTCCCAACTCTAAAATTTAGATAAACTAAAAAATCCTGAAAAGTTATTATACAGCTAAATGGGAATCTAACTCTTTTCTTTTAGTTTTATACTATGTTTAGAATCATTTAAATTTCAGCAAGATATGCACAGATTTCTGAAAAAACAAATCAAACTTCTTGAAATAGAACCACCAAAGATGGGGCACCTGGGTGGCTCAATGGGTTAAGCCTCTGCCTTCGGCTCAGATCATGATCTCAGTCAGGGTCCTGGGATCGAGCCCTGTGTCCATGTCAGACTTTCTGCTCAGCAGACAGCCTGCTTCCCTCTCTCTCTGCCTGCCTCTGCCTGCTTGTGATCTCTTTCAAATAAATAAATAAAATCTAAAAAAACAAACAAAAAAAAACCCCACTAAAGATGACCAATAACTCATTTATAATGTAAATCCTTTCCTACCCCCCCAAATCAAGTAAAAAGCCAGATTTATGAATAAAAGTATGTATTTCGTGTATATTTATGAAACAAAACCAGCTCTTAAGCACTATGCTACACTGTCTCTTGAGACAAAAACCTATAAGCAAGGAGAAAATTATAGGAAAGACACCAAAGCTATTTGGGAAGAAATGACCACCAGGATTTAGTGAAGGACTCATTTGAGACCTGAGAGGGAATGAGGGACAAAACTAATTTTCTTCTCAGTGATACTGACAAATAGTTTACATCTACTCCTGAAAGACTGTACAGAACATCCCAATTTACCAAATACAAAGCTAAAAAAGCTACTGTGGCCGTAGGAAACTAACCATTTTTCAAAACATGTTTCTATGGGAAATACATTCCAGGTTACTACACAGAAATGCTCCAGCCCAAGGAAAATCTCCTTGTCCAACTCTCCACTAGCAAAGCCAGAGCGCGAGGGAAACAAATAGTGGAAGTCTCTGCAGAGGAAGGATGATCTATTATTGAGAACTGTCTAAATCTATTATTTTAGGCTATCTTCCATGGAATCCAGAGTTCTACGAGAGACTTGTTGCTAAAAGTCTGAAGACTACTGATTGAGGATACCACCTTTTAGGGGGTTACTAGTTTGAATGACTTGACTTTCTTTTGAATGACTTTGATTTTCTTCAAATATGGGCTGAAAAAACTCCATGATTAACTTACTCATACTCCTAGAAAATGCTACAAGCAGAATTTTAAAGTTAAATGGCTTTAAAAGAACATATGAACATGACTAATCCCTATTTCATGAAAAGTTCATACAGATCCAGAGCATCTTATAGAACTGGTTATTATGTGCCTAGGCTGTGTGAAGACTGTTCCAGAAGCCCCAATGCCACATTTATGTGTGTAGTCTCTATCTTGTTCAGTAAAGTTAAGTACAATTATCTCTCCAATTACAATCTTAGTCCTTTTTGCTAAACTAAGTTTGTCTTAAAATTTTATAGTCTATATTCTTCACTTTGGTGAATTTGACAGTAAGTCTGAAAATTCACACTGAAGTGATTTTTGTCAACACCTAGGTATTCTGAAGGGAATGACATTCCTTTAGACTTAGATCTGTGAACCTACAGTTCTATCTAGAGTTTATATGTATGAAGTTATGAAATGGTATTTTTGAGAGCCAAGTCCAAAGACTAAGAATATTCCAAACTTCTTTCCCATCCATGATCAACAAAACCCACATCTCCAATAAAAACTGTCACCACAAAACCTCTACACAGAGGACTTCATGCTTATGGCTACTGCTTATAATAGTCAGGATGTTATCTTCACTTAAGTATTTTTAACCGATGATAAACCTCACTTGTACAAACAGAAGAAAATCCATGATTCTCCATGTGAGGAGTTCCTGGCTGATAGATACTGAAGTCACTTGCCAATGCCCAGTTCTTCTCCCTTTACTTTGCTGATATTTACGGTTAAGACCAGAAGAGAAAAGAAGACTTGACAATAGTCATCTCCCTCTTGACTCACACTTCATATTAGAACTCTTACCACAGTAAACTCAAAGATATATGAAAATAAAAATTAAACTCTCATAAAAAGTAATCTAGACAATTTTTCTATTTTAAATTATACATTTACCAGTAAGTGCCTGCCCCTTGAGAAGTTAGATCCATTCCATCTACACCATAGCTATCATCATCCATGATCTTGGACAGACCAAAATCAGTGATTTTGATTTCTCCACATGCTGTGCCATCTACCAGAAGGATGTTTCCTAAGAACAAAATATAAAGGCTTTTTTTTTTTTAATGATACACAGATGACATCGGGGGAACGGATACATATTTAACATACATAGTTTAAAATGTAAATTTAAAATATAATTTTAAAATATGGTGATTCAATGGGCATTTTAAATTCTTCTAGTATTCCACTGACTTTACAGAACTACACCAAAAAGGTTTTCAGATAATAAATATGACTTTTAAAAACTATAGGCTTTAGAACTTTAAAAAGTTTAGACAAATTTTATTAATTACCTGGCTTAAGATCATAATGTATAATAGGGGGTTTGATTTCATTGAGATATCTTAGTGCATTTACAATCTGCATTACAATAGACCTAGCTTCCTTCTCTGACATTAATTTATGTTGCTTCAGATAGAAATCCAAGTCATTGCCTTCACAGTATTCCAACACTGTACAAAACCTACAACGAAGAAGAGAAAAAATTAGACATAAAACATTACCCAATAATTTATTATCACAGTGATGAAATGAAGAGTATATCATCATTACAGAATAAGGAAAGCAAAAGCAAACAGATTTTTTCTTAAAAACTAATCCTTATATTCACTTACGTATCTGTATCCAAGGAGAAATAATCATAGAGTTTAACTATTCTAGGGTGATCCAGTTCTTTGTGTATTCTATATTCTCTGCAGGCGTGTCTATGGGAAGAGAGAGTCTATTTATTCTCCATGACTATTAAATGTATTTTCATTTGATAAAAACCAGAAAGTATTAATACTTACTTGTGGTAGTTTTCCTTCTTCTCATCCCTCCAGCTTTTATTAAGCTGGTGGATCTTCACAGCAGCATATCTTTGTTCATAAAGGTCAAAAGCCTAAGATTCAAGGCACAGAAGAGTTAGGACCAAAGATCAACTGAATAGCTAAAGAGATTAAAAAAATTGGTGTAATTTTTATAATAATATGGAATTAGAATACACACTCTACAGTTTTTGGTCTGCTATGATTATATATAGTTCAACAACATATTTACAGTCAGAAACAAGATACAAATTCCATCATATACATCAGAGAAAACTTTAATGTGAAATTTCACATTCAGGTTTCATAAATGCCAATATATTGAATCACGATAAAACAATAAAGCTGTTATTTGTTTTTTTAATATGGATCTGGCTCCTCTACAGTAGCAAAAGCATTAAGCAGCCAACAAAACAGATGGCTATAGTGTGTTTTTTATGGGTTGGATAAAGCAAACCTTTTTCCTCTACCTTTCCTAGTGATCCCTCCCACTTCCTTAAAAATAAACCCGTTCGGGCAAAAAAAATAAATAAATAAAAAATAAATAAATAAAATAAAAATAAACAAGTTCCTAACAATTTCCAACTGTTTAAAAAATTCTAAACTTTATGAAACTGTTCAAACATAAAGATACATCAATATCACACCTAACTACATCAGTAACGATTCCTTGGGGCGCCTGGGTAGCTCAGTGGGTTAAAAGCCTCTGCCTTCGGCTCAGGTCATGATCCCAGAGTCCTGGGATCGAGCCCCCGCATCGGGCTCTCTGCTCCGCAGGGAGCCTGCTTCCTCCCCTCTTTTTCTCTGCCTGCCTCTCTGCCTACTTGTGATCTGTCAAATAAATAAAATCTTTAAAAAAAAAAAATTACGATTCCTTAAAATCTCTTCTAATACCCAACTTGTCTTCAATTTTTCTTGGTTGTCTCAAAAAAAAAGGTTTTATACTGGTTTGTTTGATCAACAGCCTTTGTCTTACGAAAAAAAAAAAAAGAAAGATCAGTCTTCTTTTAAGGTCTCACGTAATCAAAACATTTTAAAAAGACTTGAATGTCATTTAAGAGCGATCTAATAATTTAGGTTTTGTGATTTACAGACAAGGTACCCCCTTTAAAAAAAAAAAAAACAACTTAAATTTTACGTATTAGAAAGAAGGTCCACAGTCTCTACTCCCCCATCAACTTAACCAAAAAATAAGAACAGCAGACTGTCACAAAACTATAAAAGCCTAAGATCAGAAATATTATAGGATGCAGTAGTTAATAATATTTTGGGGTCAGATAAACTTATCAACTACAAAACTCTGGGTTGTTGAGAAGATTAAATGGGGTAAAACACATAAACTGTTAAATACTAGCTAATTATATTATTAAAAGCTTAAAGAAATAGAAAAGATTAAAAAGAAAAGCTCATGTGAGAGAATGTAAAAAAGCATAAAGGATAACAGAAGAAAATAAATACACTATACTAATAAAAAATTATCAATATATATGGACTTATATATGACACATTTTTCTCCCAAGATTAGGTGAGTAAAGTATACCCTTCCCATAAGGCTAATAAGGACGATTACTGAGCAACTGATTCAGTATTTTCCACCTTGGTGTAGATCAAAGTCTGTCTTTTTTGACTCACAATCTGCTACTTTGTTTCACAGTAGACCTGTCAACCATGAAAAGGCTTTGCAGGGGTTGGAGGAAGTGGTTAGTATTTAGGTCAGTACTGAACAAAGTTATTAGGCCCCAATCTGCATTTTCTATTTCCTACATAAGCCCTTTCTTCAAAAAGAAAAGCTCCTCTTAGCCCCTATCTGCGATATTAGAAACAGTGCCAAGGCTATAGGGCACTGGCAGAAGGCTGTCATGAAAGGTCATGACAAAAAGCTCAGAAGCTGGGCAACATTAAGGCTGAGCAAGTGCTAACTGTACTTTTGGTGATTTTTAGTTCCAGAGTGAGCCATTATGATTTTCTTTTCTACTTTGTGGCTTCAGTAAGCCTACTTGAACCACTAAGTGCTTGACGATGAACTACTACTTGAATCAGAGAACCAGGAATTGGAAGAGCCATAGATCACTTCTCATGAGTGATGAGGGACAGAGCCACGATGCTTAATGCTTGTCCAACTTAACACAACAAAAACAAAATGGTTGACAGTTGAACAAAGATCAGAACTCAAGTTTTCTGAATCCAAATCCCATTATTCTTTCCCAGAGTCAGCAACAGAATCGAGGTTTGTCTTCAGTAAACTGAGAAGGCACAGTCCTTGTCTCATTGAACAGAGAGGATTTCTAATAATAGTCTGAAGAGCTTACATTTGCTAAGCACCAGTGTTCCTTGATATAGCTCATCGAATCATTACAGCAATCTGGGACACCTGGGTGGCTCAGTGGGTTGAGTGTCTGACTCTCGGATTCAGCTCAGGTCTAGATCTCAGGGTCCTGGGACTGAGCCCTGTGAAGGGCTCCATGCTCAGCATGGAGTTTCTCTCTCCCTCTATCCCTATCCCCATGCTCTCTCTCTCTCTCTCTCTCTCAAAAATAAGTAAATAAATGTTTAAAAAAAAAAAAATCATTACTACAATCCTATGATGGTAGGCACTGTTATTATCCCCAGAAAAGACTGAGAGAGGATGGCAAGTCATAAGCCCAAGTATACAGTTAGTAAACAGCAGTCAGTTCTAGTCAGGATTCAAACCCAGCCTATGTGGCTTCAGAACCCAAGCTCTTAACCACTAATTGTACTAATACATAACAAAACAAAGCACAGAGTGTCAACAAGGACTATAAAAGGGAGACCCACAGGGAAGTCTTCTACAGGAATTAAGTTTAAAGTGAGAATAAGCCCTTTGATAAGACTTCATCCTAATTAGGAGCAAATGGGCAGTCCCTGGGGCTTATAAGCAGGAGCACGAGATGATCAGACTGCATTTTATAAAAAGGCCACTACAGTTGCTGCATACATCAATAAACTGGAGAGACTCAATGAGCCCTAAAGATGGTAATTAGCTAGGAGGCTCAGGGAGCAATGCAAATAAGAGACAAAGAGGCCTTGAGCTAAGACAGAGAGGAGAAGGGTCATTGCTAGATTTAAGAGAGCTTAATGATATAACTTAGCAGTGGGTACCTGGGACTGGTTTTATGTTGAGGGAAGAAGTTACGGAAAAGGTGGAGCAAAGGATGGCCTCTAGGTTTTTCACTTGAGGGATGGACTAGATGGATGTATTACAGTGGGGAGCAGTGTCAAAAGGAAAGGTTTTGGAGAAGAGGTAGGTAACTTTTGGGTCAGATCTGAGTTTGTACTGCATATGAAGCCTCCATGTGAGGTAAAAAGACTAAGTCATGTATACCAACGGTATGGAGCTCAGAAGGAAAGTGTAAGATGGATATTATGTATACTGCTAAAATAATGGCTTTCTTTTCCTAAGAATGAAAATCCTCTTTGGATTTCTCTTGGTTAGGAGAAACAGGCATTAATGTAGGTCTTTTTGTAAAAAAGTGAAGAGGCCTAACACAAACTTTGGAAAGCAGGGGATACACTTCCCTTCACGCCATTTTGGCTTATGAAAGGTTTCACTGGAACCTTCCACTTTTGGATAGCTGGGGAAACCTTATTTGAAAAGAAATTCTTCTTTATAGAATATAGAATGATAAAAGACCTTAGGAACTACAATTTTTTAAAAAGATGTATTTATTTACTTGAGAATGAGTGCATGAGTAGGGGGGGAAGAGCAGAGGGAGGGGGACAAGCAAACTCCCCTCTGAGCTTTAAGCCCAACCCCATGATCCTGAGATTATGACCCTGAGCTGAAATAAAGAGTCCAACACTTAATGGACTAAGCCACTCAGGAGCCCCAAGAACCACAAAATTTAAAGGTTGGGCAGAAAGATATAAAATAAAGTGAAAAAAGGTAAGATACAAAACACTGAACATGGTTGACTAAAATTTTTCTACATTTATACAGGTGCACTTAAGAAATACTGGCCTTGGGCAGAGATTTGGGTAAATTTAGGACATGTAAGTCTTGTGACATGTTTAAATTAAAGGGGTATAATCTTTCCACAAATGTACTGTATTAAATAGCCACCTGCCTCTCATGATTCTAATGACCATTATTTGTATCAGACTGGCTACTGGTAATGAGGTACCCAGATATCAGTGTGATGCATGGAGTCTCTACTCTTGAGATTAAGACAACATAAGCCATGAGGCTCTTTTGTAATGAGAGCTGGGACATAAAATCAGTCAAAAAATCATAAAATCAATCAATGAAAGACAAGTACCTCTTAACCATGTACTTCTCTATCTTTGCTATTTTAGTGTAAGAACAGAAAAAAAATCTGTATTACCTTATACACTTCACTAAAGCCACCTCTACCAAGCAGATGAAGTAACAAATATCTTTCATTTAACGTTGGGTGATCTTTGAACCTTAAGGGTGGGAGAAAAAGATACTTAGGTACATAAAAACACATACAAAAAGGTTCCTTACCACAATAAAGTTTCACTCTCTCTTCTATTTCAAGCTATTTCTTTCTCAGCAACTCTTCTGCTAATTTTGAATTCCATTCTGTACTGCTTTTCGTTCTCCACCTGCATGGCTACTTTCAATCTGAACTCTTTGATGTTCACTAAGCTTAACGTTTAGCTGAACATTCAGGCTCAATAACCAACAGCACTCTGATAAAGACTTACCAACTCCTGTATTTCTAAGAGCTTTATGAAATCCCACAACTACTCAGTAGGAATTATTTCCAATGGAAAAATATACTTTTACATGGGAGTACGGTTAATCAAGATTTTACAGTAGTACTGACATATGATTAAAAATAATTATATGTATAAATTGGCCTTCATACATGATTAAATTTTACTGTCTCTGGACTTCTTTAAATAAAATTTCAATTCCCAATTAAAAAATGAAAGCTTAAAAAAAAGAAACTTAGAAAAAAAATCACTCACAGATTAATACTCTTAATACTATTTAACATTTACTGCTCCTACTATATATTAAGCATTTACATGTATTAACTCATTTATTTCTCAGCCAACCCTATGAAGTAGGCCTTGCGACTATCTTTTATTTTACAGATGAGGGCACCACTGCACACAAAGGTTAAGTAACTTGCTCCGGTCAACAGTTAATATATGACAGGGCTTTGCAGAAAAAATTGATTCCAAAATGAGCACTCTTGAAATTAAAAAACAAAACAAAACCCAAAACAATGATAGCTTTATTAATTCCATGTGTAAATATATTTTATTTTATTCAAAGTCAATTGGATAAAGCTTTGGCAATTTCTTTTTTTGAAGAACTTGTTAATAGAAGAGATTTCTGCCAAGTTTTTGTTTTTGCTTTTTTTAAAGTAAACTTTTTTGTAAAGCAAACCCCAATGTGAGGTTCGAACTCACAACCCAAGATCAAGAGTCGCAAACTCTACTGACTGAGCCAGCGAGGCACTCCGTTTGGTTTTAAAGTGAAATGAAAAGCTGTAACAATTCACTTAATTTTCATCAATATCCACAAATAAGTTTGAACATAATTTTCAGAAGAGACAACTGTAAATTAGTTTCGTCCTATCTTCTTTATTAGAACTTTCATCTGGTACATAACTACATTATTTCATTCACCTTATGCAGAGGAAGGATCTGTACATTTATGAATTATACATACAGAAATGATCATGAATAGACCTTCTTTTAAGCAAGATATTTATCGTTCATTACAGAAACTGGCCATTTCTAACTGCGACTTTCATATTAGGTCATGAAGCTTTAAATGACACAAGTCTTATAGATAAAGTAGAAAAAGACACTCTTCCCCTCCTTCACATCAATTAAATCCCAAGTAGTGCCTTGGTTAATTTCGATCTTCTTCATAAAGCTCCCACCAGTCCACAGTTATTTTATCTTCTTTTGAGTTAGCATTATTATCGATGGCACTCATTTTGATAAGCAAGATAAAGACAGAGGCTATAATTTAAACTTATTTCTTCTACAGTTTTTGCATAAATTGAAAAAATTTCAACTATGGCTTACTGAAATACTGTCAGTTGAAACAATTTCTCCTTCACTATTGTAGTATTTACTTTGGTATTCAGTCAACAGATATTTGGGGCCTAGCATGTGCCAGGCACTGGTCTAAGGTTTGGGGATAGAGCAAAAATAAAATGAAGTCTCTGCTCTCATGTAGCTTACCTTCTAATATGAGGAGACAGACAACAACAGAAAAATAAATCTGTAATTCCAGGTAGTGATAAATGCTATGAAAAAATAAAGCAAGGCAAGGATACCGAGAGAAGAGATGGAATGAGGCAAGGACTGCTATCTTATACAGGGTGGCCTAGGGACAGCCTCTCTAATGATCACTTGGAGTGAAATAAGGAGTAAGCCACTCAGATATTTAGAGGAAGAACACTTCAGGCAGGAAATGACATGCACAAAAGTACTGAGATGGGAATGTGCTAAATAAACATGTTCTAGGGGGCCAGCTTGTGCACAACATATAAATGAAGGGAGGATGACAGAGATGCGGGTGGTGAGGTGGCCAGAGACCAGATCACAAAAGGCCTTCTAAACATGGGAAGGACTTTGGATTTTTTCTAAGTGTTCTGAGAAGCCCCCCCAACAAGAAAATATTGTGTGCATGCTCTCCACAGGAGAGAAAAAACTTTTTATCACATAAAATTGTATATTATGAATAACAACTTACTGCGAATTATCTTCATTATTTATTCTTTTGAGCTCTCGAATATGAAGATTTCTGACTCTTTCCAAACGTTCAAGTTCTGCCTGGATTTCTGCCTCTTCCTGAAAATGAAGAGAGGGGACTATAACAAGCTCAATTTATTTGCAGTATAAAAAAGATATTTTTACCCATGCATCAATTTTTTACAGTGATGGGAAGAATAGTATATTATAAAGTACTACTGAGTTAAAAGACCAAAGTGCACTTTTCAATGCCTGAAAGATGGAAAGAGATAAGGCAAAAGGCTATTTCAAGAAACCATCCTCCACATGAAAATCTATACCTAATGAGATGCTGAGTTTTATTCTGTACTACAAGAAATCTATTTTTATAATATCTAAACTGAAAATGACTGCAAGGTAGTTGAGGCTGATTTATAATACAAAATGAGATGAAAATTTTATTTCTGGTACATCCCAATTTTAAATTTAAGAGGGAATAATTTAATAATACAAAACAAATGAAGGTATTTTACAATAGTCAAAAAAGGAAGAAAGGAAGAAGACAGAACCACTGATTATTTCTAAACCTTACAATGTCTGAAACACACACACACACACACACACACACACACACACACCATCTGACCACTCACTTAGGATAAATCCCCCTACACTCTTAGAGACTCTAAAAACAAAAATTATATGGACAGTTGTGGTAGATCCTCAGTTATTAGAGCAGCTCTAGGCAAATTCTAAAGAAATTAACATTTAATATGAAAATTTTGATAAATATATTTCATGTCTCAAAATATACAATTTTGAGAACATTTAAAATCAGACCCCAAATAAACAACCACCCACCTTATACATCTCTTTCATTTGTCAATATAAATCTGAATACTACACAAGGGACAGACAAGGATATACCAAATTTTGGTGGAAAATTCTTGAAATGCCCAATTTTATAATATTTCTGAGTATCTGTTGAGTAAATCAACAAATACAAATTGCCTTGGCCTAAATGTGTCCACTAACATTATAAATCTATATTACATGGAATAGAAGTTATTTCTGAATATTACACTTAAACATATCTGTATTATATTAGCTCCTTTTAATGATTTATTTTTTATTTAAAAAATCCTTTATCTAAAAAATAATTGTGAAGTTTACTTTGAAAATATAAGCATCATTTCATTCCAAAGCAGAGAGATGTATAAAAGGTGTAACACCTTTATCTAAGGCTTAAACTGAAAGGAATATTCTAAGTATGATAGAGAAAAACAAATGTTTGCAGATTAAAAAAAAAACAATCTGAGTATATTGTTTGTATTTCATTTGACCCTTAAGGTTATTTTTATTATTTGAAAATGAAACTCAACCATTACTTATTGCAGAGATATTTAATATGGAGTAGGCATTAGATGATAAATAGAAACTTTCGCAGTAAATTTAAATGAAGATAAACCTAGAATTTTGGGGAGATTTTTAAAAATACGCTAAACAGACGGTCTTAATTTAACTGAAATTTCTTAATACAGCTTCAGTCACAAATATTTCTTATTTTAATGAAAAAAGAAAAAGTAATAAATAGTCTAAGGGATTAAATAATTGAAAATTCATCACAAGGACAGCAAACAGATTAAAAACTTTTGGAACAAGACTCAAATCACAGCTTAATTGTCTTAATTTATAAAGACCTATAAAGTAGAATAAGAAACTGGCTATATAGGTATGTCCATGACTATGAAAAATTCAAATTCATTTATACCACAGAACCCTGAAAGTGGTAACTCTTTCCTTACGTATTACTAACATTTTCGATCTTAAAACTTGCCATTAATTTGATTCTCACACATGTAGGAAGCAACGAAACACTTGGTAGGCTGGTGGAATTTTAAATATCCGACAATGTCTAATTATTAGGATAACTAAAATAAATTGATTTAACTTTTATTTGAAATTGTGGTATGGGGATACTATTTCAAAAGAGAATTTATAGAAATTAAATTTTGCTGAGTCAATAAATACATAATTATGAGATTCAACTAGATTGTTGATAGAATTAATGTGTTTAATATTTTTTAGTAATCTTCAGAGGTCCATACAATGGCAGTAACCAATATTGCAAAATAAATACTCATTAAAGAAAGTAGAATGTAAAACTGAGGGTTGCTGGGGGGAGGGGGGTTGGGAGAAGGGGGGGTGGGGTTATGGACATTGGGGAGGGTATGTGCTATGGTGAGTGCTGTGAAGTGTGTAAACCTGGCGATTCACAGACCTGTACTCCTAGGGATAAAAATATATGTTTATAAAAAAAAATAAAAATTAAAAAAAAAAAGAAAGTAGAATTAAGTCTTTGTCAGTTAAGCAAACTTTTTTATCCTCTATAAAACATGACAGATATGTCCCATAAAAGCTTACAATCTAAAAGCATAGGCAAGCTACATTTGGTTTGAATTATAAAGGTCACAGGAAAAAACAAAATGTCGGAAGCACTAAGGGAAAAAAAAAGAAAAGGAAAAAGCTGGATCCTCCGTATTTAAGAGGAAATGTCAAGTAAAGGAACTTTTTTTCCCCTAATAACCAAGTCTTATATACCAATAAACATAACTCCTTCATAGTCAGTGAAATATATTTACATTTTATCTTCAATATTGTAATTTATTATTTATTCCACACATCTTGGACCTTAAACTAAAGTGACACATTTCTGGGGGAAAGATAATTCTGAAATGCTTAACCTCACTGGGGGCAAAAAAAAAAAAAGCATACATACTCTTATGGACTGAAGGTTTGTGTTCCCCCCCAATTCATGTTTAAGCCCACTGTGATGGTATTTGGAAATGGGGCCTTTGGGAATTAGATTAGGTCATGAAGGTGGGGCCCTCATGGTGGGATTAGTGGCTTTATATGGAGGGGGGGAGAGAGAGAGTTCTACCCTCCCCATCTGGTCCCCTCTTTGTGGGAGTACAGATAATAGGTCATGTGAGGACTTAAGAAGCCAGCCATCTAAAACCAGGAAGAAGGGGCACCTGGGTGCTCAGTGGGTTAAAGCCTCTGACTTTGGCTCCGGTCATGATCCCAGGGTCCTGGGATCAAGCCCTGCATCGGGCTCTCTGCTCAGTGGGGAGCCTGCTTCCTTCTCTCTCTCTCTCTCTCTCTGCCTGCCTCTCTGCCTACTTGTGATCTCTGTCAAATAAATAAATAAAATCTTAAAAAAAAAAAAACAGGAAGAAACAGATCCTCACAAAAAATCGAACTGTGCAGTACGTACCCTGATCTTGGATTTCCACCTTGTGAGAAAATTAATTTCTGTTGTTTAAGACACCTAGTCTATAGTATTTTGTTATGGCAGCCCAAAAGATTAATACACATACTTTCAGGCAAATGTTAGGACAATACAGCCTCTTTACATAAAGGGGCAAAGCCCAGTTTTTGTATGGCCCCTGGGTTCAACAGTCTAGAATACAGTAGTCTCATCAACAGATCTACATTTAGTGCAGTCATTTCCAAAGATTTATCCTGTAGACTACACTCTCCTTGCTTGAGATCAGCATTAATCTCTGGGCGATCCTCAAAATTGATCATTTTCAGAGGGCTCAGGAGAACCAAGTGTGACCCAGACTCACAGTTAAAGCAGAAGAAACATGTATAAGAACAGACTTTTGAGTGAGAGAGAGAAAGAGAGGTAGGTTTGGAGATCACATTCAGTAAAAGGAAACAGCTCTTTTCTGTTTAAACAGAAAGATACAGCAATGGACAATTTAACCGTATACACTACAGCTATTCTAACAGTATTTTAAAATAAGCTCTTAATATTCTGAATTAAAACCCAAGTCATACAAGTATACAACAACAGATCTCAATACTGCCTCATTGCTTAACCTACAAAACACACCACCTCCCAAAACTTTTAACTTTAAAAAATTTATATGGAAGGCAAATTCCACAGCAACTTAACCAAAATGGTCTGTCCTTCAGCACAAGTTTGACATAAAAATGCTTTGTATTTGTAAGCTAAGTGTTTTCTGGCAACTTAATATCCCCTTGGCTCGACTTCCTAAGCCAAAAGTCAGCAACAGTAATACAGAATCTCTGTAAAATGCCAGGTTAAAACTGCTAGGTTGATTTCGGTGCATTTCCCATAACGGCGATTTTTAAAACAGCAACTACTAAAAGAAAGGTGGGGTGTGTAGGCATTAAAGCTATAAAGCTTACAGAATTATAAAATGCATCTTCACATGTAAAACTGATATATTCCCTGAAAAGAATTAAATATACTAGTTTAAACTTCTTTAACAAATCTTGAGTATGTTACATGTTATATCCACAAAAATCCCTCAGTTTCGAAGAGCTGCTTTTCTATAAAGCCAAGATAAGATAAAGTATTTTGATATATCATTCTCAGCTTGAGAATGAGAGTTGGTAAAAAAGAAATTCTGTATGGTATACTTTGAAGATGGCAGAAGAGGAGAAAAGCATATCACTTCCAACAGTCTATTCAACAGCACTGTCACATTACTCGGTCTAGGAAAACTAGTTCAGAATGAGGTTTCAAAAAGTTTAACTCCATATTCATTTTAATAATACGAACAATATTAATCCCTCAAAAGCTGGTATCCATAGGTCCTCAAATTTTTTAATTTCATAAACTATAATGTCATTCTAAAAGTTCATCACCAGGAAAGTGAAAGGTGAAATTCACAAAGGCACTATTAAAAGCTAATGGAGAGAAAGAGCCGTGCAGAAAAAAAGAATTAAAAAGAAAATCATTAACAATTTACTTTATCTTTATCCCTGTCGTACGTCTCCAGATTATTTCTATTACATGCTTTCAAATACTTTAAATGTGGATAGGAGATATGAACCATTAGAAATATGAACCAACCAATCAACCAAAAAAACCCACACAGATAAAGCAAATGTGAACTTCCAGAGATCAGTTTTGAAACAATTGACCATAACCCTGTTTTGTATGATTATGTAGATTGAAAACTGAGTCAGAGGAGGAGAGGGGACAAAAATTATGAAATTCCTAGGACTGGGGGGCGAGTTCATTCCTAACTACATAACTACATGGTCCCTCCACTCCCCTCCGCAATCACTGAGCTGGTTAT